ATCCAGCAGTTGTCGCTTAATATAGGTTTCTCTTTACAAATAAAACGAGAAAGTACGTACTGTGGTTACATCACTAATAATATTTTCTAATCGAATTCAACAGCCAAACTCTACAGTACATTTTCCCAATTAAGTAACGTTTCGTGAATGGTCATCCCATCTCCCTCGCGTGAGTAACTCATTGATGGGTCACAAATGAGTCTGACACATAAGGAATGTCAAGAGGAAAAGAATGGCGTTCCTTACCTTCTGTCTCGACAGGTCCAAAGTAGTCCCGAGCACAGTGGGTACTGATTCCGGCTGAAGCAGGCCGGTGCTTATAAGCGCCCCCCGGGAATACCCAGAAGGAGGGACCGCGCTTGTGACGTAGGAGCGGATGTCGTCGACACGCAATGGCCCGAGAGCGAGAGAGAGTTGAGCGTTGAACACCTTGAGCGCGCGAAACGGTGCAAGTGAAGAGAGCAGGTATCTAAGAATCGGTTCCGATCGTTTGAGATCGGATCGGGTCTATTAACACGGTATCCAAATGAAAGGAACTGAAGCTGATATGATCATGTAAACTATTACCAGGCTCCTCCGGTTCCAATTTCGGGAACGTTGATCATGGAAAATAGTCATTTAGTGTCCCAAATTTTGGTGTTATTGACTGTGGAAAATAATCATTAAGGACCTAAAAAACAAGAATTGCTCAATTATATTTAAAAAAATCAACCTAAGTATTGATTTATTTCGTAACAAAGTTCTTAATTTCGTTGGAAATCATAAAATAATAATTACTTAAATTTATCAAGTCAATATTAAATCCTTATTTGTAGTAATTCAGCATGCTTACTACATGTAGTGGAGAATCATTTCTTTCAATCAATGTGTAGAAACACTAATTTTCCCTTTGAATACTTCTGACAAGTCTTGCACATTCATTATTGCATTGATTTTATTACATAATGGGCTTTTTAATAGCTGTTCTAATATTTTTCGATGCAAACATTACTAATGTACTCGTAATTGTATATTAAGATCGTTCCATTCAATGTAAACATAAATCAATGCAGTATTACATTGTTTAAATACAAATGCACTGTATTCTATATCATTCATGAAGTATTAATTCAGTTATACTCACTCGCACCTCCAATAAACTTAAAATGAATTGGAAGTGTTGTAAAACAATATTTCTAGTCATTTCGTTTTCAAACAGGCACGCATATCTCTTCTAATCCTATCACATTGCACCAAATCAAATTCCGCACATCCAAGAGCCAGAATCCGATAATAAACATTGCGGAAAACGATGAATTGGTGTTGTAATATTCCGTTTTAAAATGTAGATAACCTCACTTTATTTATACATATATTCATCATTCAACTATATATAGTAACATGCACTCTGAACGTAACAAAACGTGCGTAGATTATACGGCATACTTCTCCCCGTGCGTCACATACAGTGTTTTAATCAATTAAAGCTCCATGGTTTACACATAACCATCAAATTCACAGAGAACTACAAATAGAAACCGTGCTAAAACATAAAAAAACAGCAAATAATTTCTATTCTTCACTTCCCTCATCTCATCACGCTCTGAAATTACACCTAGGTCGAACAGCAAACATCCCAAGTCAAGTCGAATCTAAATTTTCCTAAGATATGCTTAAACCTCTCTAAACTAATATCATTCCATATCTCTGTAGAATCTTTCACGTTTCCCTTCCTATCGCTCGACAGCGCAATTCTAACAGTTTATCCCGCCCCCCCCCCAAATCAAGATTCAATTTCAGTAGCTTGTAGAAGAAAACGAATGAATTAAAGGAGACAGTATTTAACATCAATTTATCAAGGAATGCCCAAATCCCCCTCAAAAAGCCTGCATGTAAAACTGAAACCCCTCGAAAGAGCTTAGGTCGAACGAGAAGAAATTAAAAAAAAAATTCAATTGCTTCTGGCGAAATAAATCAAATCAATTTGAAATCGGACCTCGCCGTCCAGCGCGGCCTCGACCTTGACCATTTCACCTGGGAGTCGACGACCTTGGGCGCTACGTCATCACGGTCTTCCAGTTAGTTGTTAGATTGAACTGAGTTTCGGATTCTGAAGTCGTCATGACGCTCAGAATGACCTCTGCTGTGGACTTCTGCGGATAGCGACGTAACCGAAGATAGGAAAGGGATTTCCTCTCTTTGAAACTCAACCAGGATCTTGATTGTTTAGGTGAGTCAGATGACTGATTCTCAGTGCGTTCTCCACCGAAGTTGAGTAGAAACATACAGGTTTAATATAGCATTTACAATTGGATTATAAATAATGCCGACTATATCTATTACAGAATAATAAATGGGCTTGATTATATCAAAATGAATCAAGTCATCAATTTTAACTGTGTCCCTAAATCACATACAGTCAGCTATTAAATTTATTGAGTTTTGTCACGATTCGATTGTATCACGTAGAGTGGCAATATAAGATGCATAATAGCATGCATTTAAGGGACAAATATAATTCATGTTATAAATTTAGGAAAAATCTTCTCAAATGACCAAAAGATTGGACAAATATACATTACTAATAATTTTATTTATGAATAATATGACTGATGAAATCGATAAACATTATCAAACACGAGTTTACGAAATTTTTAACTGATTACTTTTAAGAAAATTAGAAAGTACCTCAATAAAAAACACATTGCAGGAATATGACATTAACTATCAAAGACAAAATATTCAATATTATTATTTTCATTATTAGCAGTCGAGGATCACATTAATACTCAAATTATCTATTTGGAGCTAAGAACAAATATTCTCAAGAACGTGACTGAACATGACAACCATTTAAGACGTGGGTTACAACTACAAGAGAAATATTACATTCCTTCAGTTTTCTGCTTTAAATCTCAAGCAGCTGGCGGCACGAATAACGGCAGAGCGACGTTTTCAATCTTGGTGGACGATTTGACCTTGAAGTGGACGGTCTCTGTAGTTCTGATCTTTGCTTGTCCATCCCCTCCTAGCTATCGACTTGCTTTCCAAAGCAACCGTTTCCCGTCGATGATAGCGCATGAACCGAACCGTTCTTTTGTCAACGCAAAATTAGTTTTTGGTCTCATATTAATCATAAGTTCAGCTCCACAAATATTTTTCTAATGTTCCTAATAACTTTCCAGCTGTTCATTAACGTAAGTAATATTTTTGATACTGTTTGTACTATTATTAATTTTTTTTACAGGGTGTTGTAATTGTATGTTTAATACTTGTATCAAGATATTCTCAATGGCAATTTCAATGATATCTAAAGATCCTCTTACATTTAGAGAAGGTTATAACTAGTTCTGATGGTTGGTAACCGAATGAAAGATGCAATGGACAGGAGAACGGATCTAGAGGAGGACTTTCTGTCGCGATGTCATTGGCCTTCCAGTTCCGGTGAGGATGTTTTGGGGCCAGCGACCATACAGGACACAGTATGTTTCATAACATACGGACTATAACACACAATAAATTCTTACCCCCGCCTCTTGTAAGCTGTTTTAACTCTTGCAAACGCTCCTCCGTCGTGGTTAACGGAACGGTTTGGTCCGGAACTTCCCAGCCCTGAATGAGTTGTATTACAATTATGACTTTTTGAAGTAAAAATATTTTTCTCCGGGTAAAGTCCACTTTGATTCACAACGAAAGGTGCAATACTTGTTTTCGGGATAAACGACTTTTCAGAGACGCAAAACTGACTACTCAAATTAAATGGAAAAGTCACGACTGTCGAAAAAGTTATTTTTTTGTATACAGCTTTTCTTTCTACACTACTAATAAGTATGTGCAGTATCATACAGTATTACAGGTGCACTTGCAAATATTGAACGTCCATTGTCACAGTACCCTACCCCCAAACGAACAGTTTTTTTGTTATTTACACACTTTATTTACAACAATTACCAATAACTGGTCGCATAATTTCCAAACGAATTCCATTTCAAATGTATATTTTTCATATAACTATAAAAACAATTAGTTTATCAGAAAGTAGTAACTTGTTCTCATTTACTCTGGCGGGAAGGGCCTAAATGAGTAAATATAGTAGATTATTATTTTCTCCTTGAAATAAGTATTTGTTTTATTTAAAATTCCAAAACAATATTCAAGAAGTAAGCGTTTTTTTAATTGAAAAGTTTTTTTAACTGAAAATCTTCGAAGATTTGACTTCAAAACGCGCGTTGCGATTTTTTTGTCGACATTTATTTTAAACCTCTTTGTTTTAAGCAAAATCTTTGATTGAAAATGTCTGCTTTATGCAAATTTACTTGCACAAACCCAATATAATTCGGTAATAAGTATTTGAAATTATTATTAATACGTGTGTAATAAAAATAAGTTTGATCAATAAAATATAACACGCGGGTTGACGATTAACAAACTATTGCATCCTAATCCTTTTTACAACACCCGTTCCTGATAGTGCGTTTTTGTCACAATTAACGAGAACATAGGAATGAACCTCTACAGGAAGAATAAGTTACCATTAACAGTGATAAAAGCGAACGAGGAAACAAACACATGTTTTTAATGGCCCACTTTAAATCTGAAAACATGCTTCTAAATAGGAGTGTGACCCTGACTTCGGGGAATCGAAGTCGAATTGCATAGGTCAGTGAACTCGCGATTATCCGAGTGCCGGTTCATCGAGGTCCGGGTTGGTTCAGACGGTTGTCAGAAAAGAACAATAAAGTTATCCATATAACCACATATTTCATAAGTGTTTGTAATTGGTGGCTGCAGTGGGAGGAGTCGGAGTGTGCAATGGGCGACCACGCATTCCAGGAAAATATACTTCTCCACATTCTCTTTGACATGAAACAAACCTTATAAATATTTCCTCTGTTTTATATTATCCTAAACCAAATTAATTCAGGGGTATCAAAGTATTTTTGTAGCCGGGGTCTCGATTGCTTGGGATAATCGCATGTCTACTGTGCTTTGTGACGAATATGAAATGGACTCACACGCACCTGTTGTCCTGCTCCGCGGGCGTGCTTCGGGGGCGTCCTCAACGCGTGGTCGACACCGACCTATGACAAGGCATTTTTCGTCTCCCCGTCGAGGCCCGTGGTCTTCGCTGGACGGTCCGGCGCAGACTGGCCTCGCGTTTGACGCACGTGTTGCTCCCGCGAGAGGTGGAGGGGCGAGGTTCGCGCTGCTCTTTTTTTTTAACCGCTTTCGACCTTCCGCTGCGCCTCCCTCGGGCAACTTAGCGGCGCGCCAACAGGGCCTCACGCCACGGGCCCCGCGACCGGGCGGCGGCAGCGCTCAGGAGGGCCCCGAGGGGGCGTGACACGGCCTCGCATGGAGGGGGGGGGAGAATACGTGCAGGTGGAAGTCAAGGCTACGCATTAGAGAGGAGTTCCTCCGGAGGTATACAAGCAACTGATATCGCGAGGAGTGAATTAAAAACTTCCTTTTCTTTTTCTTTGCCCGCTCTTCTTGTTTTATATCTTCGTATTCTTATCCGTCTTCATCATATTTTTCCTCTTTATCATCTTCTACGGGTTGAGGCAACTCAGGATGGCTAGTGTAGCGGCTCTGGCCGGGAAATCCCCGGGTTGGATCCTCGACGACGGCGAATTTTGAACATTAGTTCCATACCTGGGACATCTTAAGCCGCTGCCTGGAGAAGAATTCTAGCGCCTGGTTGTTCTGATTGGTAAATGTCCCCTACTCTCCTATTTCATACACACACACACACGAGCCACTTGTGTGCACGAGATTATTGGAAGATCAGACGGGCGCCTACGTCGTCCCGCTGGGGGAGGTGGGTGGAGGGGGGGGGAACCCGCAAGCCGATGTGTAGATTGGTGTCGGATCTCAGACTTCTGGGTGGAGTGAGGGAAGAATCACTGCCACCACCTCGAAGGTACGGAACTAATGACGTTACCTGTTCACCCTCCTGAAAACAATTATTCAATTAATAACCTAATCTTTTACTTGCTTTTTTCGTCTTATTTTACTTTGTGATCCTGTTTTGCCACCTTCTTAGTTTTCTCCATTTATAATTTTTCTCCAATTTCTTTTACTTTGTCGTGTACGTACGTATGTTCGGAGAAATATAAGAAAAAATAATAAAATGCTGCAGAAAACAGATTTCGAGATATTAACGCTTACCCTTTTGAGGTTCCCTGATACCGAAAGTTTTGTTTCTTGAAAACGTCCGACTTTCCCTGACTCTCCGACGGAAAGCATTAGAGCACTAACTATTCGTAGGATTTTTTTCCGAAGTGAATACACCCAGATCAATATGTCCTGCGATTTTGAAAGGAATGCTTTAATTTTTTGGGGGATATTTTACATGAAGACTCTGGGACATTTTAAAAATTCGATCAAAAAGTAATTCAAATTGCATATGGGTCCAGGTTTTCCTCTTCTATTATAACATATTTTTAGTCGTATTTCAATTTTATTAGGGGACCGTAACATTTAAAATTTTAAAAATAATGTAAGAATTTTTTGTTAAAACACTACTTTCTCAGTATACATATTACTCTAAAATTCCTAAGCTAAAGCAATGTGAACTGGCACGTGCTGTATATTATGTTTTTCAACATTTCATGTGGAGTTGGTAATTTGGTGTATGTTATTTTTTACATAGTAGAGTATTGGAAGGTGCTGATACACAAGTATCTTTGTTATCTTGCTATGGAAACAAATGGAGTTAAAGTTGTTGAGATACGTAGATTCAACGATGCAAAGCATAGTAGGGCTGCGTATTCATAAAAAAAAGTCAGTTTTAGTTACATTATTTGTTTTGTCAAATTATATTAAAATGCCGACGCAAGTATGCACTGAGTACGGTCAAATGATTGGTTTTCATGATAGAGAGACTTGGGGCATGTGAGTCAAAGTACGTGGGCACAAGGTTGTGGATTTCACATCCACGTAAGACATGAATGGTTTCAGTTGTAGTTGAGGCGTGGGGATATTCCGAGTCCTTCTGCACAGTAATTCTTCCATAAATTGTTAGCCTGACACACAATTGCGTGCTATTTTTTTTGAGGAATTGAATCCCACATCCAGAACAATAGTACAAGTAAGAAATGCAATGGGCTACAATTTAAAAGGTACAGGACCGAAATAGGTCTGTGCGATGATCAGGGTAGGTTGCTGGGCCGGCGATTAGTGTTAAGTCCGAGTGGCATTTTGTCCCACGAAAATATACGAAATTATGTTTTGAAAATATACGAAACATAATTTTTCCAAACTGTCATAGTTTTCATTAAATCGTCATAAAATTGTTATCTCATGTATTTGTCATCACATTTATTACATGTAACTTCCGCAGGGTGAGTTTTTGGAATGCAAAAACACCGCTGCGCTTTGCATTTCTTGTATAAACGTATTAAAAATATTTTGTAAATCGAGTTTTCTGTTTGGTCGCTATAAACATATAAACTCACAATGCTGTGGAGCGGACCTTACTACATAGATGATCGCATATACATTTTGAGTCGACTCAACACCGAGAAATTTCATTAACTTCTGGAATTTAACTTCAATGGAATATTTTCCTCACCTTAAATTCGGAGAGGGTATTTTACCCACTCGGAATTTTCATGTTGGTGTTGCTACCCGCATTATGCTCCGGGCCTTCGGTAACGCGAGAGGCCATGGTATTCTTTTAGACGCCCCGAAGAGAATACGAAAGTAACTAGTATGAGAAAGTCGGTGACATGCCGTTGCTCCTCTAGTTATTGCTGTAGGTCGAAATTATTAAATATGTTGTAAAATGGGAATAAAAAAATCTATATTTTACGTTGAACTGTACTAATAACTTCTTCAAGGCGTTTGTGTATTAAAAACCAGCACCACTGGTAGAATATTTGCAGCCAGGGGACAACATGAAGTACGAATTGAAGGATTGCGTGCTTTATTCTGCGAATTTTGATTTTTTCTGGTCATTGTATGAACATTTAGAGGTAAAAGGAAACTGTTACAGTTAATAATTGCTAAGGGAGGTAAAATCAATTTTGGTCATCTCAATAATATAGTTTTTCTTCTGATAGAGCCGCCAATTGATGTGCCTCTGTGATCGTATATACAGGTATTTGAAGGTCATTTGAGGCATCGTTAAAAACATATTCACCTTCCCTGAGAAAAGGTAACAGTCATGCCTTCATCACGCATGAAGGAATGTACAGGAAGATCATAAAGTGATGGTACCGGTAGTGGGTACATGCATCTACAATCATTATCAACAAGGCAAGTGAATGATTAGATTATATTAGATTTATTAAAGTTCGCTTTGAGCTGATGCTGTTGGAATAATGAATTTCTCTGAATTACAAACACGAGAGAATAGCAATTTTCAGCTACCATAGAATCATCAAATGAAAGAGCAACTTGGCGGAGTAGATTTATTGCCAAACTCATTTCATACATAGTGATTTCATACATGAAGATTTACATAGAATACATTTACATACTATTCGCAGTTGATAACGTTGTAATATAGTGTAATGATCAAATTAACGATGGAGTAATATTGTTTTATTTCTGCCAATTTCACGTATAAGATGAATTTCGTAAGCTACTGCATATAATACTCCGATTAAATTTCAAAAGACAAGTTAAGGTTTGAAAGGAGACAATTTAAGGTTTTCATTTATAAAAAATTAGTGCGAAGATAAAGCTTGTGCTGATAAGCAACAAAATCTGCCGCATAAATGAATCACTTACCTGTCTGAAATTATAAAACATGATCCTGGACTTTTGAAATATGAAAATCATTTTTCTAATCTCCGATTGAATTCTAACAGCACAATATCTGGCGTCACGCACACTGGTCCATCTGAG